AATCTTGATCAATCCATTCTTAAATATTCTCTGAAATAATTGTTCTGTCTTGATAAGGAACATATAATGAAAAATCAATCTCTCAGTGCGCAGTTGTGGAAAGATAATTTTTGACTTAAACGTATTTTGTGTAAATTATATAGTAGTTTTTGTACAACTTCCCTGATTTTTATAGATTGGGGTCGATTATTACCCATCTAATACATATTCTTATCAATTGCAGATGCAAATTTCTTGATATATTTGGTATCAAGTCCTCTCTGAACCCTAAATATCTTCCAAGTATCTACACATTATTATTTTGATAATAAGTAGATCTCAAAATATTGAAAAAGCAAAATTCACATAAATATTTAAGCTTGTGTTCATGATGAAATTGCTTGAAATTTTATTCTTCTAAACTTCTCCAAATACAAGATAACTAAATTTATTTCCTTCTAGAATGAAAGGAAAAAGTTATTTTTGCAGAATTTCTTTGAATAAATAATAATCATAAATTATTAAGATTTCTTTAAAAAAACCCTTTTTCAAATAGATTGCTTGAAAAATCTGTCAATACTAGGTATTTTCGTTTTGTTTGATTTCTATTTTTTGTTCACAGAAAATTTCTGGAATTTTTTTAGGCCCAGAAGACTAAATGGAGTGACCTAAAAGTTTCTATTTTAGCAAGTGGGAAAAGGGAATGATGTTATTTCCCATATTCTTAATGAATATGAAGTCAGTTCAAAAATAGGTAGATTAATGAAAGTTTTCAGAAATCCGATTAAGAAGTAACTTTGCCTATCTTTTTAATATAAAAGATGGTTTCCCAAAGCACCTCACTCATTCTGATTTCTAGGAAAAAAGACCGTCATTTCTGGAGCAATTTTAATAAATATTTATTTTGGATAGATTATGTGTTAATATTAATCAATTATTAGTTTTGATTCCATATAATATTGATATATTTTATGAAAGAGAATACATATTTGATATTATAGAATTGAATCAACAAAGAATCTAGAATTCTTTTGAGCAAGAGTATGATTTATTGTAGTTCTTGTGCCAGTTTCATTGATTTTTCTTTTTCCAATATTTTCTTTATCATTGAATTATCTGAAACTCTATCATTTATTTTTTTCTATAACAGTTTGAGTAATTCTCTTGTTGAAATTATCTACTTTCTTGATGTAGACTATTATAAAAAGCTATTTTGCAAAGTTTTCTATAAAGAAATATATATTTAACACTAAATAATCATCAAAATATTTATACCTGTTATTGTTACATTTTTTCTTTAAAAATACTTTTTTCAAATATTTAATTGATTGTGTAATATTTATAAAAACTTGAAGAATTTACACACTACTCAGCAAAAGTATTATTAAAGAATCATATTAGTTTGAAATAATTATTATTTAGACTTTATTTGAATTTTTAGATTATATAGTGATTTCTAGAAACATTTTTGGAGGGTTCTTTTAAGTATCACTACATCGACTTTTAAACTGCTTTGAAGCTTATTTTAAGCTGATTTACTCGCATTTGAAACTTTAACTAATGCTTATTCCTCATTCAATTTGTAATTAAAGCAAATTATCCATAATGGTTTAATTTCCTACATCGTCAGTTCTGGAACTCTAACGAACACAACTTTGGATATATAATTAATTAAGACTATGCTCTTTTAGTTATTTCAATCTTTTCATTCAATTCTCCAATAATTCTATTTTTTATTCCTTTTTAAAAATTAAAAGAATATAGCATTCCTTTACTCACTTGGAATAGTTTCTAACCCTCTTGTTCTTTACTGAAATAAAGAATAGACCTTATGATCCTACAGCTAAATTAAAAGCAATTACAATTGCTTTGAAAAATAATTTATCCTAAATAGACTTTTACTCTAGAACTAAAGCTATGAATTTATTAGGAACTAACTCACAGATTTTAGATTAAAATCATTAATCTTGCTGCTATATTGAACACAAAAATTAAAATCATAAATCATAAGATTTTGGGTTTTGTTTAAGAGAAATTTATTTTAGAAATATTATTATTATTATTATTATTATTATTATTATTAT